TCTTGAACGTGATTGGCAAATACTTCTTAGAAAAGAAAATATGGCACTTTATTAGATTGGCTTTAATGAACTTGTCTTCTTATCCGCCTTGGTAGTTCATATGTACCTTTGTCAATTCAAGAATCAACATTCTGTGCATGTGTACTTCTCTTAAAAGTTGTAGTGGTAGGTTCTTCTGGATAAGAGCTCTCACATATTAAAGGAAAGACAGAAGAAAGATTTTTCTTTCTCCTCCAGAAAGTTACTGTAGTTGTAGTTACCTAACTAACTTTCCATATCTAGTTAAACTTGTTCATCTGGCTTATCTGTGGTTATCTATTGTGCGTAGAACTCATGGAATTTTCTGTTGTCAGATTCTGGTGGTATGACACTCATAGGAAATACCCCAGTTATTCTTTTAATCTGTCTCTTTGAGTTAAACTAAAGTTTCTGTTATTCTTTTATCCAAATTAAAGTAATCAAAACTTGTAAAATGCTCCCAACCTCTTAATTTTGTTCTTGTTTTTCAAGTACTGTTGAATGATCACTCACATCCAGTCTTGCCAAGTTTGTGAAGCACCTAGTATAAGAAGACGGTGACTAAAGTTTCTGGCATTCTTTTCTCCAAATTAAAGTAATCAGAGCTCATTAAAATTTCTAAATTCTTGTTCTTAAATATTGTAGCATGACCACTCGCATTCCAGCCTCACCAGTTTGTGAAGCACCTTGTAAAAGAAATGCTTCTGCTTAAGTATTGGTAAGGGGATATTAATCACAAAAGATACTTGTAATTAGAAAAAAATAATGACAAAAGATACAGTTTTATTCTGATATTTTTCAAGAAATGAATAAAGTGAAAGTTTCAGTTGGGATTTTTTGCATGTCTTTGTTCCTTCTTGTTTCCATGGTCTTTTAACTTCCTTTCATCATTACAGCTTAGGCACAGGGAAGGAGACAGAAGAAAGTAATCTACTGCAGCAGTTATCAGATGCATGCTTAGTTGTTGATGCTCTCGAACCTTCTGTTAGAGAAGAATTGGTGAAAAGTTTTTGTAATAGAGAGCTTACCTCGTACCAGCAGATTTTTGAAGGAGCAGGCTTGTCCAACTTACTTTATCTTTTGTTATTGCCGAGTTTGATTGATCTATAATATGTTGGATGTCTGTGGTTCTTATAGCCTATCGCGTTTGCAACTGCAGAACTAGCTAAGTTGGACAAGACTGAAAGAAGATATGCTTGGATCAAGCGTCGTCTAAGAACAAATGAGGAGATTTGGAAAATTTTCCCTCGTTCATGGCATGTCAATTATTTGCTTTGTATCCAGTTCTGCAAGTTGACAAGGTCGGATATTTTATTATCTTTTCACCTTATCTTTTTCTTTTCTTTGCCTCTCGGAGAAAGCATGAATAATATGATGAATCTAAGCAGTTGTGAGAAACCATGTTGAAATGAATTCTCCTGTGTGATTCCTTGCCAGCATCTTATATACCTTAAAAGCTCACATGTTCCTGGAATTGTTTTTCTCAAATTACATTGCTTCGTTAACCTTGCAAAGGACTTTTCCATGGTATCATCATGGTTATTACTAGCAAAAACGCAGTCTCTTGTCATTGATTCCAACAGCACACTAACTTTCCCTATTCAAACTGATAATGCCCTTTTATCATTAGTAGAATAACATTTAACCACAATAACTTTTTTGTAAAGATTTTTATTTGCATACTCTTCCTTAATAAGGTGTTATCTGCTTTGCTTTCCTCCTACTGTCTCAACCTCTCTTTTATCTCACTCTCTTATTTGTATTCTAGGTCTCAACTTGTGGAAATCCTTGTTAGTATGAAAGAAAAGCCAGATGTTGCGACCTTGTTGATGGTAAGTTTCTCTCAATTGTGGGCTTAAGTCGTTTTGAACTTCTCTCTTTTCATGCTACGTGCATGAATTCAAACTGTGGCCTTCTAGCAAAATCTAACTTGTTTCTAAAGTTGTGTATGAAAAATTTAGAATCTTACTTTTAATATTTGATCAGATTTAATTGTTTCCCTGGAAATCCTAGTCCCGATGAAAATATCATCTGACACTAATTCTACTTCCTCAATCATTGCTGCTGTTTAACACTGCTAGCAGTCGTTTTTCCATCAGCTGAATTGTAAATTTTGATGTTCATCTTCTCAACTTTGATGTTTTCAGTCAAGTAACCTGCCAATACAAGTAGAGTGAAATCCATTTGTTTTGTCAGCATTATTGTTAGCTAAATTGCTCTGGCATGGCAGTTTAGGTGCTGCACCCGTGTCGACACGACACTAGTATGGGTGTCGGTATGGGATCCGTACCGGATCTGGTCAAATAATTTTGGGTACTTTGACTATGACGGAAGGAAAAATTCGAGACGAGATACAATTTGATTCCCGAAATCAAAACCAAAACTAGGGTAAATTTGAAGAAAATAGCATACCTTATCTAAGAAAGAGTGACAAGAGTGGGTTGCTCTAGTGGTAAGCACCTTCCACTTCCAACCAAGAGGTTGTGAGTTCGAGTCACCCCAAGAGCAAGGTGGGGAGTTCTTGGAGGGAGGGAGCCGGGGGTCTATCGGAAACAGCCTCTCTACCCTAGGGTAGGGGTAAGGTCTGCGTACACTACCATCCCCAAACCCCACTGTAGGGGTAAGGTCTCCGACCTCTAGATTTGCACCTGTATCGGACACCTGCATTCGGGTCCGAGCAACTTAGGTAGAAAGAATGAAGTGAACATATAGGAAGATATGGTTACTAGGGGTAATCAAGAGAAAGGGCGAGGGTGGATACACTTCCCAAAGGATAAATTTAACACTACCAAAGTATTTCATTCATATCTGCTCTAAAGATTTTAGAAGCATAGGTAATGATTTAGAGACCTAAAATGACTTTTTGTCTACAAGACGTGGTACCCTGTTTTTATAGCATGACATTGATCAAATGATTCTAAGGCTATAAAATATCACGTTAAAGGAATTAAAGGCGCAGCAAGATCACAGACACTTCAACAGATGGGTTAGAGTTTACTGGAACTACTCGATATGACAAAAGTAAACACTACTTGCTGCTCCTAACATAATTAAAGAGATGAAACTGACTTTAAAAGCTACTGAAGGCACTCATGTTAGACCAAAAGGTTACTTGCTTTTTCTGGCTGGATCACGTCTGGTATAGGTTTCCGATCAGAATTTATGTACATTCAGCTGGCTAGCACTTAGCCTTTGCTCTATCGCACTTCCCCAAAGTTTCTTTGTATGCTATAAGTTTAATATCCTTAATAAAAAGGGGAATTTTCAATATATACAGCCAACACAGCACTTCGCACTCACGTAGCCACACTTTTCAGTTTACACCCGCATAGCCAATTTGCAACAGTATTTGTACACCTTTATACATTATTACAATTTGTACAGTACTTATACACCTGTAAAAAACAAGAGAAATTAACTTAAATAGCCGCTCGCTCAAAAAAAAAGTCAGCAAATGTATAAATTATTGATTATTCATAATTAGTGTATAATATATGTATATTGGTCAGTTGTTACCTTCTCAAAAAAATAAAAAATATATATGTTTATTGGCTAGGGGCTGTAAATATATTTGGCCGAGCGGTCAAATGTATTAAAAGCCCTAAAAACAATGTAAACCTTTTATAATAGTGTATAAAAGTGTATAACATGTCGGTAGTTGTAGAGACGAACATTTTTTTTGCAATTTTCAGCTGTAATTCTTGTTCAAAACCAGTCCAAATCTCCAACAAATGACTTCAAATTTTGTAGACAACCTTCTTAGACTATTTCCAACAAGTTTAAACAACACACTCGAAATTTATCACAAAAATCAGAAAAATTCAAACCCACTTCTTCAAGCTTGTACAATAATGATGGGTTACCTTTTTAGTCGAATTTTTACCACCCAAATCTTATAAAATCAATACCCTAACCACAATTTGAGCTCCAAACACAACAAATTATCAAGTTTGTCAACTAACAATCAAGAGATGGCTGGGTTGAAGAAGAGAAATAGGGAAAGTGACCTAGCTTTCAAATTATATAAAATATGGGCTAATCCGGGTAAGGCTGAAAAACATGGTTCATTTTTGTTATAAGCTTGGGCCAGGTGACTGAGAGCGTAAAATTCTCAATTAAAAAATGATCCATAAGTTCAATACCATGATATTGCACTCAACTTTAGAGATCTCCTTTGATCTTGTTTATTGATAGCTAGGTACTTTTTCCCGTCATTAGGCATCTTTCCTTAATATAACATTGGTAGCTTGGTTAGCCAATCTACTCCAAGGCACTTATGCAGAGCACTATTTAGACCACATGCTTTTCTAACCCTTATATTTTTTTCCTTTTTTTTATACTTCACTTTAGCAGACCTAATTCTACAAATGTAACTAATGTTTCTCATTGTCATGGATAAAGATCTGTTTAGTTATCTTCGTAAAATGTACTGAGCAATTCAGCAAGTTACTTCCATCTTTCTTTTTTGATCTTATTATCTCACGTCAATACTTGTTGGGGATTTTCGTTAATATTCTTAGCTTGGTTAAAGTCTTTACCCTTCTTTTGGCTAGGTCGTGCTAGTTTATACATTTCTGTCTCCACTTCCCACATCTCTAGCTGTTGATACAGGTTGTTTAAAGCATTATGTCTGGCTTTTCTAATCTCCATTGTAGCTTCTTAGCTCTCTTGTATTCTTGAAATCCTTCTTTGATATATATTTGATGCTAGAGAAAATACGAGCTTTTGGCTAAATGGACTACTTTTTGCTACCACGCGCTACCGAGCCTTCAGAAAACTAGAAAACGGTAATTCATAATAAAACTGTCCATATGTACTTTATTCCTTAAGCCCTACCAAATCTGCGCTTATCCACCGATCAATCAACACATTCGGTATTCACAAAATAGAAGCATAAACACGCCAAGACCTGTTTCTCTTTCCCTTTTGGAAAGTTCTCTTTTCCTCCATTTTTGGCAGCAGACATATAATACGGATCACTCATCAGAGGAAATTAACTTTGGATTGGAAGGTGGAAAAGCAATTTCACTGTTTTATCTTTTACATATTATTTACACATCAACATTTGTCTTTATGTTGCTTTTCACTTGTATTGTTTGAAAAATCTTGTGGGTGCACTTCTAGGCTCTGCAGCGTACTTTGGAATTTGAAGAGGAGTTAGCAGAGAAATTTGGTGGTGGGACCCGCAGTAAAGATGCTGTAGATGACAGTGAAGAAACAGAAAGGAGCGGAAACAAGAGCCAGACAGTTTCAGACATTCGGAAAAAGTATGAGAAAAAGCTTGCTGCTCATGATGGTAGTCAACATGACGTATGTGTCTGAGTTTCTTTCTTTTAGTTGTAGCATCATGGCAAGTTGGATATGATAATGCTAACTTGTACAGACGCTTATACTGCCTTGTGTGTCTTGTCAGGAACAAGATGGACAAAAAGATCCATCGGTGCCGGGAGCTGGGGTATGTATTTTCTCTGGGTTCTTGACAACATTGGTTGTTGGTGTTACAAATGGTTTACTGTTGATCACCCATGTAGTCGTACAATACTAGGATTTTGTTAGACTCAGATGCATGATTGTCTCCATCTCTATCTTCTGTCACATTCCTTCTGACTTATGAGAGGGATGAACTACTTGGACCATTACAGTAAAGTTTTGATATGCTGATGGGGCATCCTTCCTTTCATTAATTGTCCTATTTGCGTTCTGCACAAGATTTTTGATAATTTTCCTGAACACATTCGTTTAGTCAGAATTTGATAATTTAATAGTCTTAACCTGCTATAAGAGATGCTGATTTCATAAATTGCGTCAATTCAGAGATGGGAAAATCCATTTCAGTAAATTTTACTGCACAAAAGCTGTGATGAAAGGGGAAGGCAGACATGCTTTCATAGTGCATGCAGAGATCTCTAGTATTACATTTATTTGGACATATTATATGGAACACAAATTGGTGCTCTGCGAGCATGCGCACTTAATAGTCTTTCCGAAGTTTTCTTATTCTGCTTTCTAGACATTAAACATCACCCTTCCAGTTTTGTTTTTCTACGGATTTCAAGCAGGTGAATGATATTATGTTTTTTACATCGCAGTTCAATTTCCGAGGGATCATTTCATCGTGCTTTGAACCTCACTTGTCAGTTTATGTAGAGCTGGAAGAGAAGACTCTTATGGACAGTTTGGAGAAAGAAATACTGGTATAAGTGTCAATAGCAATAACAGTTACTTTTCCTTAAATAGATCTGTCCTACTAATTAATATTTGTTTCTCATACTTAGGAAGAGACATGGGAAATTGAGGAGGGAAGTCAGACTAATATTTTATCTAGCAGCATTAAGGTAAAGTATTCAGTGTTTGCTGTAGTGCCGCATCAGGTGCACATTAATTCAAACAGTTTTTGGGATTACTTTGTTATTTAGTTGAGCTTCTATGTCATCAAATGCTGCATCATCTATGGAGCAAATATATTACAGAAATGTTGCATAATCTATAGAGAAGATATGATTGCGGAGATGGTACATTAGACAATTTTTGGGTCACCTGTTCTGCTTGCACTAACTTGTTTCTTTTTGTTTTCTTAAGGTCTTTGTAATCATCAGGAGGAGCTTGAAGCGATGCAGTGCTTTGACGAAAAACCAGACATTGTTTAATCTCTTTAAGGTGCTTTTAAAATAATATGCTTGCTGTGTGCCTCTTGGCCTAGTATAGGTTCTTCTGTTGTGAAAGTTCATTAAGAAAAGTTTATAATAATTTAAGAGCTGACTAGAACCTCTCTATAATTATTGTGATCTCCCATGTTCCCTCTTATAGGCTAACAAAAAGGGAAGGAAAAAGAGAATTGAGGAAAAGAAGAGTGAGGGTAGTTTATCTTTTTGAGGAGGAGAGTTTAATCCATTTTGACATACAAATGAAATGTCAGATGATCACGTTTGGCATGGATTCACCTCGGTAACAAAGGGTTAGGACCCTAGCCTTTCTAAACTTGAAATGACACCTTATGTCATTCATTAGCATAAATTTACAATACCTCTAGAATATATTCATTGATGTAATGTCCCAAAACTGGTACGAGTGAAGAGGCTTTACACTTCCAGATTAGTGACTAGGCCAAGGGTCTACATTAGCTAATACCCTTGATCTCTTTGTAATAGGCATTTCAAAAAGTTCTTAAAGCTTATGCTACCAAGCTTTTCTCTAGATTGCCAAAGGGTGGTACAGGAATTGTTGCAGCTGCCACAGGTATTGAAGGACAGATAAAGGTATATTCTGAATTCTCATTTGGAGGCTTAGTTATCGTTTTCTACTACTAAATTCTCCACTTACTTCTTATGAAACATTTTTTCCAGACATCGGACAAGGATGAAAGGGTGATCTGCTACATAGTAAACACTGCAGAGTATTGTCACAAAACGGTCAGTTTTCTCCTTGTACTGGTAATTTAGGAATTTTATTTAATAACACATCCAGTTATGCGTCTTATCACTTATGCATGCTCAATCAGAATTCCATTAATCAATGACCAGAAAAGGTCCAGAACTAGATGACCTTCCTTGAAGCATTTTTTTGAGTTCGTTAGGGTTAATGAAATTATAATTTACAAGCTAAGGTGATGAGGAACAGTCATCATAGAAATTAACAGAGAAATTCCTAATACTCTTTTCTTTTCTGTTGTCTCTTCAAACTCATGCCAAACTCCATTTTATCATGTTACCAGTGTGGTGAATTAGCAGATAATGTCTCAAAGATGATTGATGCTCAATTTGCAGATAGAGTGGATATGTCTGAAGTACAGGTACAAAAATGCTCTACTAGTTTGATTTGTAAATTTTCTTAGATGGTGCCACTGCTTAGTGTTTGAATGCATTTTCAGGATGAATTTTCAGCAGTTATTACAAAATCATTGATTACACTAGTGCACGGAATAGAAACAAAGTTTGACTCTGAGATGGCTGCAATGACTCGTGTTCCATGGAGTACTCTCGAAAGTGTTGGTGATCAGTCCGAGTACGTTAATTACCTCCTCCATTTCCACCTTCTGACTAAAACATTTCTTATGATTTGTTGAAGCTTGTAAATTTCCTGCAGGTACGTCAATGGCATAAATTCGATCCTTACCAGTAGCATTCCTGTGCTCGGAAGCCTTCTCTCTCCCATTTACTTCCAATTCTTTTTGGATAAGGTAAAAATTGTCTTCAATTTCAAGCAATTTTTTTAAAAAAAAATTCTAAGGCTTACCTGTGTAAATACCTTGATCTCTGCATCATTTCGCTAAAAAAAAAAAAAAAAAAAAAAAAAAACCCACACTAATACAAGTCTGAACATATCTACAGTCAATTTCAAGNATTATGCAGCTTGCGTCGTCTCTCAGTCCACGGTTCTTTCACAATATATTCAAATGCAAACAGATATCAGAGACTGGAGCACAGCAAGTACTGATAATCTTGACTTACTATCACTTCAATATAAAGTTTTACTCATCAGCAAAAATCTTGACTGTGGGGTGAGCCAAGCTGGCTCTTTTACTACTAGAGCAGTTTGAGCTCACTAGCGCACGCCTTAATAATTTTTGCAATGTCAGCGCCTTGTAGCTTATCAAATGGTGATCATCTTAATGTAATTTTAATTTAACTGGCACGGCATTATTGCAGATGCTTTTGGATACGCAAGCAGTAAAGACTATTTTGCTGGAAATTCCTTCTCTTGGAAAACAAGTAAGCTTGCCAGCATTTCTGAAGTGTGGATCCTTCTATTGATTTTTTTCCTTTTTTCTTTTTCTGTTTAATTATATTTTAAACTGACATTTTTTCCCCAGCTCTGTCATTCTCTATAAATTTCCATTTCTTTACTTTAGGGCAAGCAAGTAATTGCACTTCATTCCTGAAGTAATAATGTAATATGTAGTTTTGATGAAATAAAGTGGCTGATAGCTGAAACTGTCCATATGATTGGTCGTAGAAAGCCGAATAAGCAAAGCTGACCATTGCTTGTTTGAAACATTCAGTCTCCTGATGAATTTGAGACGACACTGTTACAGAAAAAACAGTTATAATATCTCTCAATCCTCGCAGGAAGTCTTTTCCATTGTCACTAATATTTTGCGCACTGAGTTCGTCTTGTTGAAGTTATTGCTCCACTAAAAACATTGCTAAATCTCTGAATGCCCTTGGTACAAAACTTAAAACAACAACATTGGCTTAAACTTTTTGTGAACCTCTCTATTTTGAACAGACAGCAGGAGCTGCTAGCTATTCTAAATTTGTTAGTCGTGAGATGAGCAAAGCAGAAGCATTATTGAAGGTCAGTGATTGATGAGCTGTGTTAGTCTCAAAAATGATCTTGTATATTGAAGGTCCGGATAGTATATTGAATTTGGTTTGCTTTTAGGTCATACTATCTCCAATAGATTCTGTGGCAGATACATACTGTGCACTGCTGCCAGAGGGAACACTTGCAGAGTTTCAGCGGCTTTTGGAGCTTAAGGTTTCACTCTTCATTTTATTCTCCAGCGTTTTCTCAATCTAAAATGTTTTATTTCTGAGGTTGCTATAAGATATTAGCAATTTGGTGGAACTCTTTATTTTCCATTTAGAGCATGGGACTGGGATTAAATTTCTAAATTAGATGATCACGTTAGGCTGTTACCTTCAGCTCTTAGTGCTCTATATAACTCTAACTATCGAGTACAAAATGACGATTTTGGTGCCTAACATGCTAGACGAATATGCCCTAGACATGGCTTTGCTTGGTCATACTCTATTTGCTTTTAACTTTGACAGAGTGCTCTTCAAGATTATTTAAGAGATTATAACCCAAAATTAGTGTCAATGATACGGAGACTCTAATCTTCAGTTCACTTCAGTATGAAGGCTATAAGTTGCAGCAAGAAGCTCTGACAAGTCAATCAATTTACTTTAGAAAGCTTTATAGTGATCTTGAATTTTCATTCATATCCTGGGGCACGAGAGCTATTGTGCTAGCTGCTCACTTTTTGTTGGTCGATTCTCATGCTTTTCTCATTTGTACACAATATCTTGAATGCACTTTGTGATTGCAGGGCCTGAAAAAAGCTGATCAGCAGAGCATACTGGATGACTTCAACAAACGTGGGTCAGGTATCTCTCAGTCGACCATTATGGCCCCTTCAGTTGTACCATCTGCTCCAAACACCTCAATAGCACCGGCCATAACTAACGTAGCATCATCACCTGGGGCCATCACTTCAAGAGAAGATGTGCTGACCAGAGCAGCTGCACTTGGAAGAGGTGCAGCTACTACTGGCTTTAAGAGATTCCTCGCTTTAACAGAAGCTGCAAAAGATCGCAAGGATGGACCATTCAGGAAGCTATTCAATGGATAAGTACCAATTTCTGAGCTCATCATTCTTGGCAGGTCTTTTCCTTTATTACTTTTCCCATTATTGTAATATCAACTGTTGTTCATTAATTTTTTTTCCAGGAATAGCAAATGCTATTGTACATTTTTGCGGTGTAGATTGTAAATTAGAGTTTTATCAAAATTATGAAAATGATTTCAGAGCTGTTTCCACTTTTAGTGCAAAAAAATTCCAAAATGTACCGCCTGGAATACTGTTTTCTTCGAGTAAAATCATCTTCCCTAACCAACCAGGCACATTTCGGAAAATTCATTTACAAGACAATCTTAATTGTTTCACTTTGTAATTAGGTCTATTGGCTACAAGAAAGGTATTTTATTCATTCCCACTCATGAGTGATAGTGATTTTTGTGGACAGCATTGTGAAGTCTTCCATGGATCAGATGCTTCTGTCTTGGTACAAACTGTTTTCTAACAATTGTCGCTCATCTTTTAGCACCGCGGAATGGAATCTGATGGTGTATGCTCATGAGGAGGAGTAACACTTTGTTCATGTGAAGGAGAATTACCCTTTTTTTTTTTCTTTTTTTCATTTTGATTTTTCGATCTTGCCTGATCTATGGCCTATGCGGTAGGGGTGCTTATCACGCGGATAATTACGCTTAACGGTTCGGCTTAACGATTATCGGATTATAAATGTAGTAATCCGCTAATCATCCAATAAGATAACTGGCGGATTGGTATCGGATTAACAATTATTGGGCGGTTATCGGGCGGCTTATCATTTAAACCAAATAGAAATTTTTTGAACAATCATTCAATCAATACCAAGCAGTTTCAAATCAATACTAAATTTTTAATACCATCTAAGATCTAAGCAAACGGTATTTTTTTTTAATTGAAGAGTCTTCAAGACTAATACTGTTATACACGTATTAATCAAATTTTTAATATCATCAAGACTACTCATGCAGACATACACGTATTAATCATTGAGATTTCGATTTTTTGACTTCTCAGTTCAAGAGAGACGAAACTGACTATTTCCCTGCCTCCGGTGGCTGCAAACAATTGAGAATTAGAAAATAGAAATTAGGGATTTAGCCATTTAGGGTTTCAATAGTACTTTATATATATAGGGGGTAAAAGTGTAAATATAAAAATTCTTAACGGGTTAACGGTTTACCCGATAAGAAAATTGAGTAATCCGTTTCCAAACCGTTAAGCCGTTAATTATAAAATCTTAATTTGTTCACCATCTATTACCCCGATAATCCGATATCAATAAGTTATCGGTCCGGTTAATGATTTGGGTTCGATTTTGAACAGAGCTAATATGGGGTCGTTAATTGCTATTCTGAAAGTCCAGATCTAGCTGACTCAAATTTTCTATAGCTTCAGCTTTGATGGTCCACAGGACCACAGCAAATTGTGCTCTCCAGTCTTAATCGTACAGTCTACCTATTAGTTTCTTCTTATAAATGATGACGGTAATAAATATGACAGACATTCTACAGCGCTAGAGTGCCTTAAAATGTTAACAAGTTTCGAAAAATTATAGCTATAACTCGGGGCATGTTTAGAACACGAGTTTAATAATTTTTGTTCAAACTCTGTATTTGTATTAAGAAATTTATTAAATATTTTTAAGTATTTGACTGTAAATTCGTTTATTAAGTATATTACCTTGAGATTATAACATAAGTATATAATCTTTAAATTCTGAATCCGCTTTTAATAACATATACAATAAGGTCAATTTAAACATTACAAAACAAAAAGTAAGAAAATTAAAGGCTAAAGATATGATGTTGTGTATTAAAACTTACTTCCTAATATATCGGGATCACAGTTTACAATTGAAGCTTAGTGGTAACATACGATTCCTAACTACAGTTAAATAATAATTCAACTAGCCTCTTTCAATTACTAAAAATAATTAATGAAATATAGGATCTGGAACCAAAATATTGCTGTTTTGAACTCAAAGCACAAAAATAAATTAAAAAACGAATTGATGATCAATTTATATATAACACATTTCTTTAATGCTCTATACCTTAACGACACATTTGTCCGTTAAGGTATAGCGCATGGGTTACATGTGCGATATTTAAATTTTAAATTGGCGGGCAAAAAATAAATAAATAAATATATATATATATATATATATAGCGCATATGCAGGATGCGCTATATCAGAAGTTGAAAAGATAGGTAGATATAGCGCATCCAATATATGCACTATACCTATATAAAATATCGGATTTGTCTCCTTCCCCGACCAGACAAAAGCAGAAGGTGAACACACCCCCCCCCCCCCCTTTTTTTAACCAAAAAACTCCATTGGAGCCCACCCGTCCCCCAAAAATTGTGTCTTCTCCGTATTTTAGCAAGCTAACACCGGATCCAAGGCGTTGTCGTAGTGGATCTCGTCTATTGCTCGTTTCGACTTCCAAATCATCAAATTTTCACATTTTAAAAAACTTTAAATTGAGGTATTCCGACTTACTTTTTGGTAACACTCATGTATATAAAATGCTTATTAGATGTTATTTATTGTGTTGTATGTTTTATTTTGTGTAAAGACCCCACCGGTCGTTTTGAGTATTTACACTCCTTTCAACTTTTTGAAGTCTTAAATAGCTTCATACGATATATTATGACTTGTGTGAATTGTCGGTTTGCGTTTCCAGGTGTTTCAGAATTTGTTCGGAAGAATGAATTTTCATGTTTGAGGCTTTGAGTTGGAAGAGTTGACCAAGTTTAAGTTTTAGTATTCGACCTCGGATTGGAGTTTTGATGATTTCAATAGCTCCGTATGGTAATTTTGAACTTAGGAGCGTGTCCGAAAAAATATTTGGAAGTCCGTAGTTGAATTTGGCTTGTAATGGCTAAAACAAAAAGTTATGTTTGGAAGTTTGACCAGGGAATTGACTTTTTGATATCGGGGTCGGAATCCAATTTTGGAAATTGGAATAGGTCCGCTATGTCATTTATGACTTGTGTGCAAAATTTGAGGTCAATCGGACTTGATTTGATAGGTTTCGGCATTGAATGTAGAAGTTGAAAACTGTTAGTTTTTATTAGGCTTGAATTGGTGTGCGATTTTGTGTTTTGGATGTTGTTTGATGTGATTTGAGGGCTCGACTAAGTTCGTATGACGTTTTAGGACTTGTTGATACATTCGCACGGGGTCCCGAGTGGCTCGGGTGTGTTTCGGGGTGAGTTTTGAGCGAGACTGGCCATTTCGGCACTCTGATGTTGTTCTGGAACTTTGGAAGTGCGGGGGTACATTTTGGAGTGCTGAGGCAGAGGAAAAGTGCGGACCGCAGAATTTCTCTCGCGGCCGCAGAATTGAGATTTCTGCAGATTAGATGATGTGATTTCGGAAGCTTATATCTTTTATTCTATAAGGAATTTGGATATGATTCGAAACAAAAGTTGTAGAGCTTTGAGTCTAGTTTTCATAAAGGTATACCATTAATCATTTGGACATTTCTAGAGAAAGTTATGGTCAAGTTACTGAAGCCTGGTAGTGCAGAGCTGCTGAAGTGCGGCCGCAGAACCTGGGATGTGCGGCCGCACAAACAAATGTGCGTTCAGCACAATGCGGATCAGATTTTGTACTATATGAATGAGGGTCTCATCTCATTTTTTATTTTTGGACATTGGGAGCTCGGTTTGTGGCGATTTTTCGTGGGATTTGCAAAAAATTCATCGGGGTAAGTGACTTTAATTCGAATTTGGTTAATATACATGAATATATCATTATTTTTATCATTTAATCGGTATTTTGAAATGAAAATTTGCGGGAAATTGAATAGATTTCATAAAATAAATATTTGGGATTCGAATACCGATTCGGAGTCGGATTTGAGTGAAATTAGTATGGTTGAACTCGTAATTGAATGTGTTGTCGGATTTTGTGAGTTTCGTCGGATCCTGAGACGTGAGTCCCACTGTCGATTTTTCGAGCAGAGTTGGGAATTTTTATAAATTGTAAATTGTAAGCATTAGTATATTTTGATTAATTTGCACGTTGTTTGAATAGATACAAATTGTTTCGATTGAGTTGAGGAGATAGGAAGGCGTATGGAGGTTGATACGTGTAGAATGGAATTTTCGGAGTATTGTTTAGCTTACTCGGCACCGGATTCACCTTATTCGAGGTAAGTAACACTTCTAAACTTGGTTATCAGGGTATGAATCCCCGAATTTTGTATTATATTAATTATTTGGAGGTGACGCACACGATAAGTGACGAGCGTGTGGACGTGCACCATAGAAACTGTGACTTGAATAAATTCTGTGAAGTTGTAAAATTAAAGAATCATGTTATTACCCGAATATTCTCCATGTGTTAGGAAATGGAGCTGAGACTCGTATTAAAGATCATGATAAGGCTACGTGCCGATATTTTTGGGACCCACAAGGTGATGTTGCTGTGGAATGTAATTGTTTTAAAATGTATATGTCATACTTAGTCATGTTTATCTATTGTGAGGATATTTATGGGATCGGGTTGCCCGCCTGCAGCAGACCATATTGGCTTTAAATTATTATTATATAGAACGGGGTTGCCCGCCTGCAGCAGGCCTTATAGGCTTTATCATTATATGGATCGGGCTGCTCGCCTGCAGCGGCTCATATCGGCTTTATATCACACTTGGGCGGAAGGAGTCCCTTCGGAGTCTGCACCGCCCACGGTGAGCGTAGATGATTTATATACGGGATGGACTTCCCAGGGCATTGACTTGCCTTACTTATTTATATTTGTGATGAATTTCCTTAGACATGGATCTTGTCCGAACCATTTACATTTGGGGATATATTATCCCAAGGCTGAATTGACCTTATACGGTACTGAGTGACTGACTGTCAGTCAATGTATATAGATACGGGATGGAATATCCCTAGGTTGGATTGGCCATAAACAGTACCGAGTGACCGAATGATTTGTGATCGTGAGTACACAAGGTTTTCCACGGAGCTGTCATATTCCTCATATCATGCAGTGTTGATCTATCTTACTTGTACTGAGTTTAACAGTCGAACTTGAAAGTATGCCTACTTTTCTGTACTGTTATTTTTATACTGAATTGTATTTGTTGAGCTCGTCACTACTTTCAGCCCAGAGGTTAGTCTTATTACTTATTGAGTTGGTTGTACTCATACTACACTTTGCACCTCGTGTGCAAATTCAGGTACTTCCGAATACGGCGGTTGCCAAATTTGAGAATTTATCTGTTGGAGACTATCAAGGTAGCTGCTTGGCGTCCGCAGACCTTTACTCTCTTTCCTTTCAGTTATTGTATTGTTCTACATTTTCAGACATTGTTCTTATCAGTCAGACTTGGTTATTATTTAGATGCTCATGTACTCAGTGACACCGGGTTTTGGGAGTATTTTATGTCGGTATTAATGAGATTTTGTATTGAATTTAATTATTATATTTTTAAACTTAAAGGATATTGTGTTTCATTGGGATTATCGGCTTACCTAGTATTGAGATATGCGCCATCACGACAGGTGAGATTTTTGGATCGTGACATTTTGTGATCGTTTTGTGATTTAATTAAAATTTTTGTTTTTTATCCTGATTAGTTTATTTATGTGCTAAAAAAATTAGTAAAAATATATATTGTTATTTTATGAATAATTATTGTTATATGTGATTTTATTGTTGTACGTATATTAATATGTGACTTTATTGTTGTTTAGCGCCCTT